GTCCTCTCCCCCTATGAACATCAGCAGTCTCTGCTCAATGCCACTCGGGGGGACCAACGGCATATCTCTAGGTGGTGGGTGCCAAGTTTGCCCAGGAAGCTACATGAGGCCAATGGGGATTGAACCCAAGACCTCCTGAATGCCACTTGCGTGCCTTACCAACTGAGCTAGGCCGCTGGTTCACACTTTTAGTTTGGCATAGGCAAGTTGGACCCCGTTTCCAGCAAGGTGTTGCTCCCCACCAATAGAAGGCAGCCTTGTTGTTGCAAAAAAAAAAAAAAAAAAAAAAAAAAAAAGGGAAATTTTCGAAATGCCCCTGAAGTTTGTGTTTATTTGCGGCGTGCCCCTCTGATGGCCCACTTACCTTGTCGCGCCTCTCTGATGACGAATGGTGTTTCCAGAAAACCCCTGGCGTCGTTTGGGCCTGAAAAAATGTTTCATATGCCCCTACAGGTACCAGTACCAAATTTTCAGTATGCCCCTACCTGATGGCCGTTGAGAACCAGCGCAAAAGTTTCCCATATGCCCTTATTGGTACCGTCCATCTTTCCAGCAAGACCCTGTGGCCGTTGTTGATACTCGCAGTCTTTCCCCTGGCCCAGGGAGAGATGCTACCGGGGCATATCAGAAATTTGGCGATGAGCATGGAGTCATGGACACACACACACGTGCACGCGCGCGCACACACACACACACACACACACACACACACACACACACACACACACATGCAGATACACACACGCGCACACAGGGGCGATCGCACACACACACACACACACAACACACACACACAACACACATATACAGACCGTTTTTCCGTGGCGGTGCGTGGAATGCCTACCACTTTGAATTCGAATTCCTGCCACCACCGCTGCAAGGGCATCACAGAAAGATGTGTGCCCCTCGTGAGGGCATTTCAAGGACCGACCGACGAAACGCCACCAGCGGTCCAGTAAGGGCATATCGGAAAGTTACATCCCATGCTGACAGGGGCCTGCGGAAAATTTCAGAGGCCCGAGGGGCACCACAGGGTAAGTTGGCCTTCACAGGGGCACGCCGCACATAAAAGCAAACTTTAGGGGCATTTCGAAAATTGCCCCCCCAAAAAAAAACGAGGCGAGTGTGGGTGTCATGGTGTGAGTTTCAAAACGTGCAAGTTTAGTGGGGGTCTAAAACTGCACTAGTCATTACCCCCAGTGGGGCTTGGCAGATTTAGGGGGGTCTCCTTTTTGGCTCCATTTCAGGAAATGCTGAAGTTGCCTTTTCTGAACGTTGGGTGTGACTCCAACGTACTTGCCCCCCCCAAAAGAAGTAAAAACGTACATGAACCAACCAGCGACCCTAGCTCAGCTGGTGCACCCACGAACTGTTGAATGCAGACCCCAGCTCGAGAGACAGTCATGATGGGGCACTGCCACAATTTCGGTCCTTTGTCTGGGTTTAGGTCCGGCTAGGCTAGTTACGAACTTGAATTCCAACACCCCACACACAGGCCAGCGGGAGGTAAGCCAATCCAAAAAAAAAGAAAAAAAGCCAATCCACACAGCAAAACCCAAACAACCTGCAAAAAAAAACAAAATAAATAAATAAATAAAGATTCCAGGTTGTCTAAATCGGCACGGACCTGTTGAAGTACAACACAGAACATGCAGGTTCTCGAAAAAAAAAAAAAAAAAGAACATGCAGGGGGGACATGGGTGTGGGTGTTCAGGGAGAGGATGGGATGACCTGGGCAAAGTCTGCAGAGTGTTAGGACCAGGTCCTTTCATAAGTAGGATTAGGGTTGAGCTTCCCCACAGAAAGAAGAGTGTTAAAGCTGACTGTCTCTCGTAAGCTTGGGCGAAGGACAATCACGGATGTTCAAGGGGAGGATGGACAGGGCAAGTAATTAGGGTTGTTCGTATAGCTTCGTAAAAAGAGAGGTCAGTCAATCCCCACGTGGAGAGGGTAATCAATGCTGCCTCCTGCTGTGTATCCATTTGATAGATTCTTGTAAACTTGGCTCCTGGTGCATGTCATTAAAGGGATGCTGGACCCCGTTTCCAGCAGGTGCAGCTCCCCACCAATAGATTGGAGCCATCGACCCTGCGAAGCCTGCTAGACGAGGATGCTCTTACCAACTCCTGCTAGCAGGCGCTTTCAGGCCAATGATGTTTCTTTCAAAAAAGAAAAAAAGAAGAAAAGGACCAGAGTCACAAACCTGTCGACAGGTATGAAGGTCCAGGGGGATGGAAAATCCCTCCATCTGCGCTGTCGGGGGGAAGGTTGGCACGCGATTTCAGCGGCGCTTCGCTCGCCTGCGCTATCGCGTGGGTAGCATGCTAAGGTCTTACTCACCATAGCTACCCGCTCCCTCTACCGGAAGGAGAAGGAGACGAGGTATGGCTCCCAAACTGCCGTGAGTTATTTTTTCTGCCATGGTAGTAGCCACACCACCGGGAACCACCTCCCCCTCGCGATCCCACGCTACCACAACYAGACTTAACCAGAGTAACAGCGTCGCGCTCGAATTGAGCGTTCCGCTACAGGGTTTCATCCAGTAAACTACGAATGATTTCTCAGCCAATACGTCGTGGGAGTAGTTTTTTTTTTTTTTTTTTTTTTTTTTTTTTTTTTTAAGGAATTTACGGAAAATAAAACTATTTAAAGATTTTCAAAATTGCATTGCAAAACGAAAAATTTCAGAAAAATATTGTTGAAATTTAAAACGAATAATTGCTGAATTTAATTTACAAAATAGATGGATTTAAATTTAATTTTCAAAAATAATTAATTAAATTAATTTTGTAATTTAAATTTGGGTAGAAAAGGATATTGTCAGATTTATTGGAATTTTGGGAGTAAAATTTTTCGAATTAAAAAT